TGACATGTTCAAGATCTTGTTGTGCTCAAGAGACGTATATACAGCGGCGGGCAGCCAGAAGCAAACAGCATTTTATGTATGTACCGATTCCCCCCCTCCACCAGCACCTCAGCGGCAAATGTTCCGCGCCCCGTTCCCGGACAGGCTCCAGTTAATGTTCTGGCCGCACGGCGACTCGCGCACCGACGCGCCGTTGACGGTGAGGGTGACCCAGATGTCGCGGTTGTTGGGGAACTCGCTGCGGGCGGACAGGCGCACCTCGCCGCCGCCGTTGACGGTGCCGCCGCGGATCGAGAGGTTGTAGCAGTTCTCGATCAGGACGGCGTTGTTGCCGTTGTTGGCCAGGTCCACGCTCGTGATGACGGCGCCGCCCGACTGCGACACGCAAAAGATGCCGCGCCCGCCGCCGCGCGAGACGACGCGGTCGACGTAGACGTTTGTGTTGTCTGGGGGAGTTGGTTAGTCGGATATAAACAAGGACAGTAGACAAGCAAAAAGAAGAAAAAAAAGAAGAAAAAAAGAAGAAAAAAAAGAAGAAAAAAAAGAAGAAAAAAAGAAAAAAAGACCCAGCCGCCCCTACCGCGACGACGCCACAAGCTGGAAAGGACCCCGCGACGACACCCGCGAGCTCGGCGGGCTCCTTTTCGCGAATGGAGCAGAAGAGGAAGACCGAGTTCGTCTCGTCCACGTCGAAATGGTCCGTCTGGGGCAGCGCCGCGCTCCCATTTTGACCGCCGCGCTCTTCTTTGTCGGCACGGCCATGGCGAGAGGAGGGGGCGGCGGCGGTTCGCCAGCGTCGGAGAATGCTGGGTCGGGCGTGGCGGGATGGGGCGCGTCGGGAGATGACGACGGTAATGACGACGTCAAGTGACGATGGAAAATGAGAGAGAGCTTTTGGGATTGTAAGGGCCACACAGGGTTCCTTGGGGAACGTGGATATACCCCGCGAGGAATGATATATGTGCCCTCAGTAGCTCGGTCAATGTAGGAACATGGAGTTGCCAGCCTCCACCTGGGGTTAAGCGCCCACCACCACGGCGCACGGCGCACCTCTCCCTGGGCTGCTGGCCTGGGTACTCGCCGACGTGGTCGATTGACGAGCCAACATGTGCGGCCAGTGTTTTGAGACGGCCCGTTGGAGAATTCAGCGTGGGCGATCAAAGAGCGGGCTGGGGCAAGCTCCAGCCTGGCGACCTAGTGTGCGATTCCATCAGCTATTTGTGGATAAAAGCAGACATAAAAATGCCCAACAAGAGGAGGACCACGGTGTCCATGGTATGGCTAATGAGATCGGCAGGGCAGACAGGTAATGCATTCATCCTCCCGGTCCAGGACGACCATCCTCGACGCAACGGCAATAGGCTCTGGTGATGGCGTTACCCAGCTCGAACAACCGACCCACCATTTCCACCTAGGCAGTGACCCGAGCTATTCACGGTCGTCGTCCTCTTCAGAGGCCGGAGGAGAATGACCTCGGCCAGCCCATCTAGAACATACCCAGTAAAAATACATAGAGTGCACGCTCAGAGCAATCGTAGGCATTCGCCAAGCCCCACTCTTAGGATCCCAAGTCGGCCAGGTACTGGAGAGAGTGCCCGCCCAGCCGAAGTCTGCATCGTCGCCGTCTAGATTACACGTACAAACAAAAAACTCCTAAAAAAAAATGCATCAAGACCTTGTGCTTCGTCCGGATCCCGCCAGTGCCCGATGTCGTTGGTCCCAAATCAAAAGAAAAAAGAAAGGCGCAAGACAGTGCATCAAAATGCCGCCGGGCCATGCAAAAGGACTTTATATCAGCTGATGAAACCGGACCATGGAGATATTAAAGAAAAGTAACACCACCCAAATGAAGCGTCGCTGCAGGTTAAACAACAAATAAGGACCAGCGGGGAGCAAGGAACGAGACACGACATCATGGCGGACGGGTAGACAAACTACTAGCGTCTACCTCTCTGGAGAAACGGGTCAGCGGGACCCTTCTTTTTGGGCGGTCGAGGTGGGCGAGGAGCCTAGAAGGTTGAGACAAGGTTTGTTAGTTTCCGAGAGCAGCTACAGTGGTTTCTGGAGACGAGAGCGCAACTTACGGCTGGGCGGTCGGGAGGAACCATGCCGAGTGCCTGCATCGCCGAGGGGTCGGTCGGCCGCTGCGGGGGTCTGCTCGGCATGGCCTTTGGTGCAGACGGCGGCCTGGCACTGGCGCCGCCGTGCTGGGGCTGGTGGTGGGGATTTGTCGCGCTCTGTTGTTGTATGAAGCTTAGCATGCTGGAAAGAGATCAAGTTGCCGATCAAGGCGACGTGGAATCAGTTTGGCTCGTGGATTTGACATACTCGTTTGGCAGTCGAGGACATGTCTCCGCCGTCCTCCTGCGCAGGGCGCTTCCTCGAAGCAATGACTGTGTCACCTGCGGGGCCCCTAGGGGCCGACGACTGGATGACAGGGCTCGAGGCCATCGACCGCGCATTCCGGCCTGCTGAGGACTGGATCGGTGGCGCCGAGCTGAGCGCGCGCGGAGGTGGCCCAGTCATCCCGGCATGCCCCTGGCCTTGCGTCTGATGGGTTCCGTCGTTAGTAGGCAACGACTGAGCAGCGCGAGCGCGGGCGTCATTGACATCCAGCATCTCTATGTCGCTCCTCTCCGAATCTCGGCGTTGCATTGTTGGGGGGCCGTTGGAGGACGGCGCCTGCATCGGCACCGCGCCCATCGGCATCGGTCGCGACGTCGCAGCGCTGCGAAGCTGCGCCATGATGCTGCCCGACGTGTAGCGGTCACGCGCCTTGGCGTCCTCGATCAGCTTGGCCCAGAACGGCCCCTGCTTCAGCGCACGGGAGTCACCCAGGACCCAGAGCGACGACCGCGCTCGCGTGAGACCGACGTTCATACGCCTGATGTCCGTCATGAAGCCGATACCACCCGTCGGGCTGGCACGCACGCACGAGAAGATGATGATCTCGCACTCTCGGCCCTGGAACGCGTCCGTCGTGTTGAACTCGATCTGCTCCAGCACCGCCTCACCATACCGGTCCAAGAAACGCTGGCGCAGCGCATGCAGCTGCGCCTTGTAGGGGGTGATGATTCCGATCTTGCCCTTCAGGTCGCCGCAGCGGGAAGAGAAGTCGGTGGAGAAGCGGTTGAAGATCTGTAGCGCTACGCTGACCTCGTTGGTGTTGACCAGCGACTGACCGCGGTTGCCACGCTCCTGGATACCCTCAACGTCGAAGAAGCGGTATGGGCCCAGCAGTGGGTTCTCGTGCCACGGCTGCTGCCGCAGCTTGGCCATGTCGTCGCCGTCAGCCAGCCGCCCCTCGTAAAACTCCTTGCTCGGGAACAGGCTGATCTCGGGGTGCATTCGGTACTGGCAGTCGAGCAGGTGCACTTTTGTCGGGTGGTTCTGCTGCATGCGCACAAACAGACTCTGATCGTAGCCGTACCGCGCCGCCGACTGCGAGAGCACCGTGGGCGGCAGCTGCTTGGGATCGCCGACGAGTACACACTTGGACGCTCCGTACTTGAGCGGGATCAGCGCGCTCAGCTCTACACACTGCGCCGCCTCGTCGATGATGACCGTTTCGAACTCGACCTGTAGCGTCTTGAACATGTCGTGTCCAGAACCACTCAGCGTTGCACACAGCACGTGGGCATCAGCCAAGATGCTCTGTTGAATGCCTCTTCGCTTCACCTCGGCCTCGCGCGCATAAGTGTTGCCGCTCGACTTCTCCCGATCGATCATGGACCCAAGCTGCATCTGCCGCCTCTTCAGCACGTCGAACTCGCGCTGCAGGTTGTTGAGCTGCCCGATGTCGTTCGATTCGCGCGCCGACTCCAGGGCCGCCCTAAGCGGCATCATCTTGGCTTTGATCTCGCCCGCCTCCTGGTGCATCTTCTCGCGGTCGCTAGGCTGGCCCGCGTTCTGTCCCGCAAGAGCGTCCATCTTTTCCTTAACCAGCTCGTCAAGCGTAACGTCCTTGACCGCCTGGTTCACTGCGTCGCTGCGACCTAGACGCAGCACGTTTATCTTGTGCATCTGCCCGTTCGTGTCCTTGATTCCAGCTTTGAGGCGCAGCACCAATTCATCCACGGCCGCGTTACTGGGTGCGCACACCAGCAGCTTCCTAGCCATGGGAGCCTCCCCGTTGACGCCAGGCCTGACAGGAACAGGAGGCGGCTTGTTGATCTTGATGTTCCCCGTGAGCAGCGCGCCCACCATGGCGATAATCGTCTTGGTTTTGCCCGTTCCCGGCGGACCCTGGACAAGCGTGAAGCCGTCGTTCTCCTTGGCGTTTATGATGGCGGAAGCCTGTCCCTTGTTGAGCTGGTAATTGTCCTGGAAGCTCTGGACACGCTCGTCCGAAAAGGTGAGCACCGGCGATGGCTCCGCCTCAAGCACCTCAGTCATCAGATCGTAATACTGCAGACTTTCAAGCGCAGCAAATTCACGCTCAACCGTCGTCATGTTCGTTATCCGCAGCCCCCGGAGGTCGGCGCCGGGCATCAGCGCCTGCAGGAAACGGCCGTTGCCCTTGGAGATAAGTCGGCAGGTGACCTCGATGATGCTCTTCTTCATCATGGTCTTGAAAACCCGTGCCAAGCTGTGGGGCGCGTCCCGGTCGCTAAGGGGCTCGTTGGCCGACGAGAGGAGAATGATGTCGCCGTCCGACAATCGTTCTCTGTCCTTGTCTTTGAGATTGGGCATGGGTATGGAAGTAGTGACCTCCATGAACTTGTCAACCGACACTCGGTTGATGATTTTGATATCAAACGGCTTTGACGTCGATTCGTCCTTGGACGTGACAAACGAGCGCCACGCCTCGTTCACCAGCAGCGGGAAGAAGGTGTCTCTGTAGTCGACCGGGCTGAGGTACGACTTTGCCACCTCCCTGCACGAGTACCCGTTAGGCGGATCATTACCTTCGTGGAAGATATCCCACTCAAGAATGGCCTCGTGCAATCTCTCCATCGGTGGAGTGATCCGAGCACGCAGATCCTTCTTGGACCGCTGTATCTTTGTCTTCTTGACGGGACCGAGTTGCTTGGCCTTGAGCTCCCTCAGCCGGCGCGCAGACGCGTCCTTACCGGCTTGTCCGTCCTTAAGGATATCAGCCATCTCTTCGTCGCCGTCGGAATCGTCATCTTCGTCTTCTTCGTCGCTACCGACAAATGTCTCGCTCTTGGCAGGGGCATGTGTTTTGTCGAGCACGCCCGCGATACCCTTGAGACCGTATCCATCACCGCCGACCATCTTGCCAGAAGCTGCTGCTTCGCGCAGAGCCTCGGCGCGGGCGCGAGCAGCGGCATTAGCCTTGGTTCGCTCTTGCTGTTGTTTCTGACGAGCCTCCCTGATGCTGAGTTGGGTCGCCTTGATTGCGGCGGTGCTGAGAACCGAGGGCTTTCGTGGCGCCTGAGATTGTGCTTTTATCGTGCTGAGAATGGAAGGTGCCTTTTCGACCGCTACGGATTCACCTTTAACTGCCGAGGGGCGGGACAGCGAGCTGGTAGATGCGGCAGTAGACGTGGTTTTGGACGAGTGGGCCGAGTCTGTGGAAGGAGCTGTTTTCGACCAGGTGTCGAGGCTGCTCTGCTTCTTTGGCTGGGCCTTGGCAACAGGCTTGAGAACGGGCGGACCGGACGAGTCCGACTCGTCGCCCAAGTCGGTGCCCAGGGCTCTCAGTAGCTCGGCCTTCTGGGGTGGCCTTAGGTTGGAATTCATCTTGTACCTGCCATCGGGCTGACGGATACAGATATCCTTGAGCATTTGCAGAGGCTTGTTGGGCAAGGCCATATCAAACTCGCGGAGGCGCCGGAGCAGCTTTCCAACCGATCTTGCAAAGACGGCAAGCAGTTCTTGGTCCCGAAGCTGCAGCATTTGGGTGTATTGCGTGGTCATCACTCGGGGCTGGTCGAGGACCACCTTCATTGCCGCCACCCGCGCGTCGTTCAGCGCCTTGGGGCCGTCGCCGTGGCCAGTTGTGACGCTTATAGCATTCGCGATCAGGCCGTCCTCGGCGAGAAGAGCATCTGCGTGGAGCACCGCCTGTGTGCAGCAGTCCTCCATATCCTTCTTGGACACATACTTCTCGGACCAGGCCTTGGTCTGGCCAAAGAAGTATCCTAGGAAGATCCATTGGCGCCTCCACCAGTATTTCACAGCTTCGCCCTCTGGCTTCGTCATTTCGCGAGACCGCAAAAGCCCAGTAGTCGAGTTGCAGAGGGCCTCAAGAATATCCTGGTACCATCTCAACATGTTGGGGACGGGGCCAAACATCTCGGCGCTGAGCTTGGGATCGGCGGGGGGGATCTTCTTAGCAACAGCATCCGAGAATGACCATAGGAAGAGCCTCGTGTGTGAGCCGATCATCTTCTCAAGCGCGTCGGATCGGCTATCCTCGCCGGTGAGGGACTTGATGAAATCGACGGCCGCGAGGCTGATAGACTCTTCGCCGTGGACCAGACATCCGACCAATGCGCCCAGGGCCTCGGCGTCGGAGCACAGACCCTGCAGTTCATGCGGCGTGAACACGCTCACTCGCCCGATGAGACGGCCAATCGACTCGGCCGTTGCCTCGAACTGCTTGTTGAATTTGGCCTTCTTCTCGTCCTTGACGACGACCTCTTTCTTCCCGGGAAGAAACCTCTCGACGCCCTGGAGGTCTTTGGTGGCGATTATGATGACATTGGCTAGCCCTGTCGTCTTGGACGGCTGCATATGATCGATGAAGGCGTCCCATAGCTGAGATGACCTCCGCTCGACGACGCGGTTGTACGACTGCGCCGCCTTGATGGCCTTGGACTCGTTGGAAAACGTCTCTGCGTCCAGAGTGAGGGCGAGCTTGATGACGTGAAGAGCCTTTGCTGACAGCCCAATGTTATATCGGTCGCCGGACTTGAGGCTGACGCAGTCGATGAGGAAGTCCTTGTACTTCAACACGATGTTGTATGTGATGTCGATGTAAACCAAGGCCGTCGAGAAGGCAAGCTTTGGGTCCTTCAGGCCTTCGAGCGTGCATGTCAATGCGACAAGCGACGCGTTGGCGCACACGGCCTTGGCGTCCCTCGTCGTCTCGTGGCTCGCCTTGAACGTGTCCAGCAGTTGGTGGAGGATGGAATCGCAAGCGTCGCTACGGCCGGTGGGCTGCAGCGAATCCATGAGGTTCTTGACAAAGTACGATAGCAGCGGCATTTCACCCTCGCCCTCCGGCATCAGCATCCCGGGCTCAAGAGAGCGCGCAAGCAGTCCCATGAACGCCCTGCAGGCCCAGATATGCTGGGTGAGGATTGCAGGCGACAGGTCCGAGAGAGCAGACCAAAAGGCCTTGGTGGACTTCTGCATCAGCGCGCAGAAGGTACGGATTAGCGTCGCGAGAACATTGGGGTCATCGATGATGGCCAGATGGTTAAACGCCAGGTGGTAGATGTCGGGCTGGATCTGCATGCCGCGCAGCGTGTGCAGCACGAATTCTTCACTCATGGCGGGAAGCAGGACTGCCAGCCCCTCCCAAAACCGCTTCACACGGGCCTGGTCGGTAGTCTGGTGCGCTACGGCCTCCATCTCACTCGCCAGGTACTCGTTGACGGCCCAGTCGAACTGGTCCGGCTTCAAGGATTCGGGCGGGATGCTCTCCCAGGCAGCCTTGGCAAACCCGCTACGCAACTCATCCTCTTGAAAAAGGAAATGGGTCATGGTTGGGATGACGCCGGATCCAAGACGGAGGGGTTTCTTAACCTTCTGGATCTCCTGGAATACGTAGTTGAATGTGGCGCGGTTGTCAGGCAGAGAGAGGTAGGGCATGCAACAGAGCGCCTCGTAGAGGGCGAGGACCGCGGTCTCGTCCCGCTTGGCCAGCGCATTCGTCTTCATCGGGCCATTTTTCCTCAGTATCTTCTCGGCGGCCCCGAGCCCGAGGTCGATTCGAGCCTTGTCGAAGGCGTTGAGTTTTGTGGACATGATGGCGGCCGTGTCTTCGTTGAATTTGCTGCAAAGAGAAAAACGTAAAGTGGTCAGCAATCGTGGCCTGGCGTGGCAGGAGGCAACGAGCAGGGCGGGTCTGGAGTCTCACTCGGCAAGCTTTTGAAGAAACGGCTTCCTCACTTTGTGCCAGAGCCGTATGCAGAAGGCGCACGACTTGAGGTAGGTCTCGGCCCTCTCGATCCATTTGTCGAACCATTCCGAAGCCTGGTCCTTGCTAATGGCGAGGACCAGCGATGCGGACACGGAGAAGTCGAGCCGGTCTTTGGCACTCTCGAGTCGCGACGCCCTCTCGTCAGCAGAAAGTCCGCTGTCCTCGGGGCCGAGGCACTCGTAGTCTGTTCCATCGTCGTCGTCTATCTGGGGACAGAAGAGGTGCATCTGCTCGGGCACCGCCTCCAGCTTCTGGAAGGAGGTTATGATTTCCTCGTAGACGCCATTTGGGTCCTCCATCCTGGCGAGCGGTAGCGGTTCACGCCCTGCACCTGCGAGCTAGGCGACGGCCCGAGTCGGAGCATGCGTAGACGTCTTTGGCGCTGGCAACGAGCGGTTCGATTGCTATCAGGATCGAGTCTGAAACGGTTCGGGGCTGGGCTGTTGATGCGATCAATCATCCGTCGTGACGGCACCGGAACTGAAGTCGAGGACTCGCCCGGCAGAACGAAGCAGGTTGGCCGGGCACTCGAAACCCCAGTCCGCTGCAATGGAGGTTTATGGCAGAATTTGAAGGTTCAGCAATGCATGTCCGCAAGCGGCTCAGCACTGCACGTCCCGCCCTCTCGCGACTTCCTTGAAGCGCGGCGCGTCACCGTCGCAGCCATTAAAGCCCTGTGGATGACTAATGAGCTTAAAATGTGGGGCCGATACTTGCATTCAGCTCATGGCTGACAGCTCCTTCCAATACAAATGATAGCAACAAAAAAGCCTCCATTTCATTTGGGTTTGTGTGGCACACATGGATCCTGTTGTAGCCATTTCCCATATCATTTCTTCTTTGCTGCATCTTCCTTCCTGTCCTTCATCTTTTGTTTCCTATGCGATGTCTTTTATCCGTTGTAGCGACACAGGTCTCCATTTGTGCAAGGTTGCTCTGTGGAACAGGGTTTTCTTTTCAATATTTTCCCCGCCTCTAATTCCTCTCCAGGTCAGGCAGGACTTGTTCCTATTCACACTATGAGCCGTGCACAATACCGAAGACCAGGGATTAGAATCGCAACGTAACAACAAGCGTCTGCAATTCATCAGGCTACACTTCTCGCCGGGTATCGTAAAGCCTCACCCTCCATCTATGGCCCTTCTCCGGTCGTTCCACCTACAGTTTGGGCCCCAGAACAATTATCCCTTTCCTCTATCTTGTCAAGCTGGTGTTCCCACTGAGCTCATCGTGTTCGTATGAGTACATCGCCCTAAACCACACAGTTTTCCTCCATAATCATGTCATCGCCCGCGTCGTAAAAGTCGTCAATGGCTTCCAGGTCCGCCTTCCTATCCTCCAACATCATCTCGTCCAGCTGCCGAAACGTAGGTAGCATTTGAAGGGACGCCTCCAAGTCGGCCCTGCGGTACGATGGCATAGCTTTGTCGACAATATAACGCCACTCGGCGCCGGACTCCTCTGTCCAAGGGCTGGGAGGAGAGTGTGCGACGACAATATTTGCATTATTGGCAGGGAGGCAGTCGGGAGTCGGATCACTGCTCTGAAAGATATCCATCATGGTGACATCTTGTGTGCTCTTCTCCTCGTTTTTCTTTTCCTCTACCTCCTCCTGCTTGCTCGCCAAGCCTTTTTGCATCGGGACCGAGGGTGTAGATGGTGGTAGTACATTGAAGATTGGCTCGCTCTTGGGCTTGTTCATCCCCGAGACCAAGTTCGTCGAGATTTGTAGAGTCGGCGCGAACGTGTTCAGGTATTCTGGCGCAAGAAGAGCATGTGCCCCAGCACCAAGATTGCTGGATATATAGGAAGGCACGGCAAGGTTGACGGCGGGAGGGACGGCGTGGTTTGCAGGCGATGGCGCGGCGATCTTAGCGGTAGGAAGCTGCACAGTTTCAGGAAACGTCGCGATATCGGGCATAGTAGTCGAAGCCGGAGATGCCGAGGCAGCCGGCGATGTCGCAGCGGCCGGCGACGCCGCAGCAGCCGAATACGTCGAGGCGGCCGGAGACACGGCGCCCGCGTCAGCCTTTCCCTTGGCCGGGACCGCATCCCCCCTTCCCCTGTCGAGCAGGTCCTCGAGCGGGCAAACGCACGCCTCCCACCTGGCGGCGCCGCGCTCCCTGTTGGCCGCGCTCGCGCACCGGAAGCAGGCCTGCCCGCCGTGGAGGGCCAGCAGGCGGCGCAGGTCGCGCTTGAGGCCGTCGGGCGCGCGCACCTCGAGGTGGTAAAAGGTGTGCAGGTCCGTGGCGCGCTCGGGCACCCAGCCGAGCCAGCGCGCGAGGCGCCAGACGTTGCCGTCGACGGCGAGGCACGGCTTGTGCAGGCACGAGAGCACGACGCAGGCCGCCGTCTTGACCGACACGCCCTGGAAGGCCGAGAGCTGCCGGAGCGCGTCCGACACCGTCACCTCGGGCCGCCGCAGGCGCTGCAGCGAGAGGATGTTGACGCTCAGCTCCGCGATCTCGGCGTCCCGGTCCTCGTCGCTGTATGGCAGTGGGAGCTTCAGTCCTGTTGTTGTTGCTGCTGCTGTCGCTGCGGGTGCTGTGTCCGCTGCTGTTGTTGGTGTTGTTGATGGCAATGCGGCTGTTCCTGGTGATGGCATCGGTGCTGGCGACGCTGCCGCGGATAGTGATGTCCAATGTGACGCCGCCGGGCTCCCAGTCCCCTCTACCACAGCACTTCCTCCTCCCCCCCTCCCACTACCATCCAGTGGCGATGGCGGCGGCGACGGCATGCCGGCGCTCTTGTCCGCCCGAAGCGCCGCCAGCCTGGCCGTGTTCTCGGCGCGCACCCTGGCGCACAGCGCCTTGACGAACTCCGTCTTCTTGTTGCCGAGCCCGCAGCCCTTGATGGCGGCGTGCACACGCTCCGAGGGCGCGTCCGCGACGGCGAGCCAGTTGACCGCCGTGTCGCCGCCGCCGCCGCCGCTGCCGAACTCGGCCGCTAGGTTCTGGATGGCCGCATCGGCCCGCGCCACATGTGACGCCCCACTGATGATGGTCCGGCAGAGCGCATTCAGCACGTCGTCGGGGTCGCCGCAGCCTGCGGCCGTGGTCAGCGGGCTGCTGTCACTGCCGCTGCTACTGCTGCTGCTGTCTTCCGGGCCGTGGGCGGCCGTCAGCAGCTCCCAGACCCTCTGGCAGTCGTCCGGGCTGGGGGCCACGTGCTCTGGGAAAGGCGAGATGCCGTGCTTGATTCTCTTCCTGGTGGGCATGACGTATTGCTAAGGTTTTGTTGCAAGATCTGCCGTATCTGGGAGGTGGTAGGCAGAGGGAACCATGCGCAAGTTGACTGGTGAAAAAAAAACTCGGATGGCTCGTTCGACCTCAACTCCGTTTGCTGTGCGGGCTGCGGCTTTATTTCCCTCCGTTCATCATTTCCTGACGTGGCTGTTTGAAGGAAGAAAAAAAAGCAAAGAGTTGAAAAGTGACAGGGTAAAGCGGCTGAGGTGGCACTTCCCATCAAGGCAGCCCTGGTTGTTGGAGAGGAAAGGAAGGGCTAAAGGACGGCTTCGACACTCCTTCCTTTATTGGAGGGCTATTGAAGATACTCGCACATTCATTCAAGTTGCTGCCTTTTTGTTTTTTGTTTTTTTGCTCCAAGCCCTTCAAATCGAGACTAGGCATCGAATACCTACTCGGTAGTCTACTCGACGAATTTCGGTGCGGCAGGGAATAGTGTAAAACACACGAGATTCTGCCAAGGTGAAGCTGTTACACACTCCTTGTGGCTTGTTGGTCATCGTCCCGACTGAGCTGGCCGTGAGTCGAGCTTGAGGAAACTTTGACCAGCGCGACTTTATTGGACCGACGGCGGCCTGGGTGCCGCGTGAATGACGGCTGGCTGCGTCCGATTTGCATCAGGGCTGGGACAGAGGCTCGGAGGCGGGATATGATGTAGGTTGATGCAACCAGACGCAGATGCACGTACACGCCCACCGGGCAGCAAGAAAAAGAATGCTGCTGAATGGGTGGCCAAGACAGCACAGAACACCCGCCCTCGGTTTTGCTTCCAAGCAGCCTAAGCACAACGGCCTCATTGTTCTATGCAAGCACCCACCGCAGTGGGTTGGGCACACGGAGCTATCTGACCAGAAATATCAACGCTAACTGCCGAGCAAAGGCCGCGCCGAAGATCAGGGCCCCGTGGCAGAACGCATTGCTCATTACAAGGAGCCAACTATAGGGCCATGCAGGGGTGGATTTAGCCTCAAGGCTCCGTCGGAACTCTCGACGGGATTGCTGGGACACACTCCTTGGTCTCGGAATTCCAGACCCTGATGGCAGCTTAAACCAGACGCTTTTGAACCTAGCAACTCCGTGATCCGTGTCTATCTATAGATGCGGCAACGTGCATTGTATATCTCGCATCGCAGCTCTAGGTGGGCTCCCCACTAGAAACCCTTCCGAGATCAGCAGAGCTCATGCGGGCTAATTGATGCCCGCCCAGCCCATGGTGGTAGATCCCCCATCTACCACAATATTCTTCCTCAATCAAATCATCGTCGCTCCTCTGGTGCCCAGCTGTTGTTACTCTAGATCCTCGGCACGAGTAAAACTCCATGCATGAGTTGGCGATATTCAAGTCTCGGTTGCGACGTTGTGAAGACTGATGATTCACTGATTAGCTAGAATCCTGTACTGTCTTCCCTCCTCATCTTTGGGCTTCAACTGACCTGATATCTTGGCGGTCCATGGGGGAAGCCAAAGGCACACGAGAGAGGACAGGCGAGCCACTCGTGCTGCTTGGCGGTCCGCCATTCTGGCGCGTCGCCGGCGGGGAAACCGGCGCAGCAGCAGTGCCCGAGATCGAGATCTGCACAGGGCCACTATTGCCAACAAGCGACCCGGTCCGGCCTGATGCAGAGCCCTCCAGGGCATTCATCTTCCTCTTCTTTCCCCTCAGGTCGTTGAGGTGCTCGAAGTAGCCCTCAGGCACAGGCGTCACATACTTGCCACAGAAGACGCCAACCTCGAAATCCTGCGTTTTCGGGTCGCGCGGCGAGAGCTCTGCGCAAGCGGCCTTGAGGTCGTCGAGATCCTGGTAAATGACCTCCTCGGCGCCGATGTGCTTGGCAATATCGAACCGGTCTCGCTCGTGTGCAACCAGCTCGGTGGGCGATGCCAGGTCGATGCCGCTGGAAGCAGTTAGCAAGGGATGTCGTGCACGCCACTCCCACCTCTATCTCGGACGGAAGGCTCACTAGATGTGTGGGTGCGTAATAGGCGGCGCGCAACTGGCAAAGATGACCTTGCGGGCGCCCGATTCCTTCGCCATGCTGACAATCTCGCGGCTGGTCGTGCCACGGACTATACTATCATCAACAAGCAAAACGCAGCGACCCTGGAACTCGGATGCCATAGCGCTCAGTTTTCTCCTAACGCTCTTGGTCCTCGCTCCCTGGCCCGGCATAATGACTAGAAGAAACAAACATGTTAGAATACTCCTGCTGTGAGCAAGAGCGCGATATGACCCAAACTCACATGTTCTGAAAACATAGCGGTTCTTCACGAAAGCATGGCACAGTGGCTTGCCTAGAGTCTCGGAGACGACGGCTGCCGAGACATTGGACGTCTCCGGAATCGGGATCACAACATCAATGTCCTTGATGGCTTCCTCTCCAAGTTCGGTGCGGATCCTCTGCGCAAGCATCTTGCCCATGTTTTGACGCGACCTGTAAACCGAGATTCCGTCCATGGTGGTATCCGGACGGGCAAAGCTGCAAAAAAAAAGTAGGTTAGTACAGCTTGGCAAACTTTGTCCGCGTGGTCGGGCCAAATATGGGAATACATACTAGACAAACTCGAAGATGTCCGGGGTGTAGGCGGCGGGCTCCTGGACTTGGTGGAAGACGGGTTGCCGACCCTTGCCAATGAAAACGGCTTGGCCTGGCATGATGTCCTTAATGTTGGAGAATCCCAGCTGGCGGAGTGCGACATCCTCCGACGCCATCATGTAGTCAGTGGCGCCCGCTAGGGTCTTGGATGGCCGGCTGCCAATGACAAGGGGCCGGATGCCATTGGGATCTCTGAAACCAATGATGCCATAGCCAGCAATCATGGCGGTACAGGCCCAGGCGCCTTTGCAGCGCTGGTACATGCGGCCCAGAGCCTTGAACAGATCCTCCTCGTTCACGCGAGACTTTCCAGTCTCGTTGAGCTCGCTGGCAAAGATGTTGAGCATCAGCTCGCTGTCGCTGTCCGTGTTGACGTGGCGGTGGGCGGTCTTGTCGAGAAAGTAGGCCAACTCGGGCGCGTTGATCAAGTTCCCGTTGTGGCTGAGAGCCAGTCCGTAGGGCGAGTTGCAGTAGAAGGGCTGCGACTCGGCAGACGAGCTCGTGCCGGCAGTCGGGTAGCGGAGGTGGCCGATGCCCATGAATCCGGGGAGGTCGGGTATGCGCTTGCCCTCTAGGAAGACTTTGGACGCCATTCCGTTGCCCTTGCACTGGTAGATGCGCCCTGCGGCGGTACACATGGCGATGCCGCTAGCATCTTGACCACGGTGCTGCAGAAAGTACAATGCCTCGTGAAGATCGCCGGCGCCGAGGCAAGGGGTTTTGGCGTCGTCAACGTGGCCGAGGATCAGGCCGAGAATGCCACACATGTTGACAGATATGATAAGCGGAGTTCAAGTTATTTAGTATAGCTGCCCGCTGAGGCGAAGGGAGACCTGAGTGGGAAGTGGCAGCAAGGTCAGTTTTGGCAACGACGTCGTTTTTGTATCAAGTTGATTTGCGATTCGGTGGGGGGTTGGGTGTTGAGCGGCTTGTCAAGAGGCCAAACAAGCGATGGAGAAGTTCAGATCAATAAAAACTTTTTTCCGCATCGTATGCTAGGAAGTCAAGCATTATATTTTGAAGATCATCATGTGGAACCGGAGAAACAACGAAGCAAGGCTTGACGAATGTTTGGGATCTTGGAGGCAAAGGATATACAAACCTTGCTCTGGCGCTTCTTCGAATCGCGGGCGCTCCTCCGGTATCTCGGCGAGTTGCCGATGGGATCCTGTCGGCCGTTACCGGAGACGTCAAGCCGGAGGCAAGACAGGCGATGGAGAGTGAGGGCACGTGGCTCGAGGCCGAGTAGAAGCCGAAATCAAGGAGGGAAGTGATTGGTAGGACGACCTGGAGAGGTGTCGATACTCAATTCGCGGCAGGTCTCCATTTTGAGAGCTTTTCTGAGTTTTTTTCCTCAGGAAACTCGAGAGAGGAATTCGGGTCATGATTTTTTTCTCTTGCTTCCGCTCGGTCTGATAGGCTTGCCCCACTCATTGATAAAATGGCAGCTCACCAAAAAAAGCGCCAAATGACCAATTGGTGGGGTAAGTGGAGATTTCGCATGCAGGGAGCGCGCTGCCATGTAAGGTGATTTGCAGGGGTGAGGCGAGTTTTTTGATGGCTGCTGCCAAACGGCTCAGCGCAGCGCCCGTCAAGCCGATTTTGTGCATTCGTTCCACCTCGGAATCGAGATCTCGTCTCTACCGCCAGGTGACACGGCTGTCCACAGCGCGGGAGATATCGGGCGTAACATTCTCAGCATATTTACTGGCCGTGAGGTTCTCAACAATCCAGGCTACCGCTTTGATTTCTTCAGCCTCAGCTAGCAGCCAAGAAGAGCACAGCAACAGCACAGGGACGACGTGAACAACGTGGACGATGTGATGTGCCATCCACGAGCACGAGCCGACAACCTTATCTCGCATAACATGCGGGCGCAGCTGCGCACAGGCACATGACACACGTGGCCGACAGGTGCCGTCAGACGGGACGCCAGTATCACCTCTGGATGCTGTGTCGCCTACCTAGAGGTAGCCATGGGCTTGGAATTACAGCCTATGATTATATAACCTCAGATCCCAGGTACCTACCGACCCATCTACAGACCAACGCCATGCTTCATCCCAATTCGATTGCCTACATCTCCGAATAGGCGTTGAGCGCCAGCTGGCCGCCGAGGTGGGCGTACAGCACGTTGCTGCCGGGCTTGATGTCGCCGATGCGGATCATGTCCATCATGCCGGCCAGCGACTTGCCCTCATAGACGGGGTCCGTGATGAAGGCCTCGGTGCTGGCACCAAACTTGATGGCGTCGATGGTGCGCGCGTCGGGCACGCCGTAGGTGCCGCCGTGGTAGCGGTCGTCCAGCTCGATGTCGGCGTCGGTCACGTTGTCGTCGCCCTCGAGCCCGATCTTGGCGCCCGTCACCCTCGCGATCCGCAGCACCTGCTCGCGCGTCTGCGGCACCGTCGCCGACGCGTCGATGCCAATCACCCGGCGGGGCTTGGAGCCGTTGCGCTTCTGCGCCAGCTTGAAGCCCGCCACCATGCCCGCAAAGGTCGACCCCGTGACGGCGCACACGATGACGGTGTCGAAGAAGATGCCCAGCTCCTTCTCCTGCGCCTCCACCTCGAATGCCCACCGCGCGAAACCGAGCCCGCCCAGCGGGTGGTCGCTCGCGCCCGCCGGGATCGAGTACGGCTTTTTGCCCTTCGCCTCCAGGTCAGCGACGGCGGCCGCGAGCGAGTTTTTGTGCTCGATGCCGAAGCCCGAGGGATCCAGCCTCACGTCGGCGCCCATCAACCTCGACAGCTGGATGTTGCCGATCTTGTCGTAGACGGGATCGGACCAGTCAGGCACCCAGTGCTCCTGCACTAGCACTGCCCGCAGCCCCAGCTTGGTGGCTGTTGCCGCGACTTGGCGTGTGTGGTTGGACTGCACGCCGCCGATGGAGACGAGCGTGTCGGCCTTCTGGGCCAGGGCATCTGCCGCGAGGTACCTGCCGCACGTACAGACGTCTCGTCAGCGCTTTGCCACGACCAAAGAAGATGAAGAAAGCGAGGAGAATGGAGAAGGAGGACGCACTCAAGCTTGCGCGTCTTGTTGCCGCCATATGCTAGACCCGAGTTGCAATCGTCGCGTTTGGCGTATACGTTGACCTTTCCACCCAGGGCCTCGGATATGCGAGCCAATTGCTGGATTGGCGATGGCCCGAAAGTTAAGGCCTCCCGTGGGATGCTGGCAAAGGGCTCCGGGAGCCGCAGGTCGAGAGCGCTCATCTTGCCGAGTTTCGTGTAATGGCCCGTGACTATAGCTTGTGCTGGCCGAAGTACCGTCTACTGTTTAACTGACACTGGCAGCGGGTGTGATCAGATAATTCGCTGGGACGGATGGCGCATCCCCTCGTATATATCCGAGTCAGGCACAAGGAGGGGTTTAAGTGGCGCGATGCTTGGCTCGCCCTCGGCCGCATCTCCGTGCCGTCTCGGAGGGCCATCGGCCTGCTGCGATACGCCCGCTCGCTCCAGCTGCGGGGGATGCCTGGGGACAAGCAGCGTCGCCCACCAGTAGCCGAGCCGATATCATGGAGCGATTGCAACTGTCAGCACCCAGGTTGGTCTATCCTTCGCTCTGACGGCCTATTTTCTTGGCGGTATGATACGCTTTTAATTTTCCGTCGGGGCCGTGAGGAGAAGCCGGATACGGGACGGAAAAGACCCCATTTTGTGCCTCTTCGACCCCTCATGGGGCTTGCATGGCCCGTCATCGGCGCGCTGAGGTGTACAGTTTGCTATAACGTCGCAACACTGTATCCCCTGTTCTGGCCCGACCTCGGATATGCACAAGCTTCACTTGTACAGCAACTCCACGTCGTCATTTCGAGATGGCGCCACTAGCTGACCTTTGAGTCCTGAATAGGGAGTTGAGTATGATTTCGACATGTGCCGCAAATGGGGCAATAAGATGCTATCTGGAATGCACTCGCTATAACTCCAAAGCCATCTCTCGCAGGACGGCATCCCCCAGGCCGTCGGGCACGACGCGCGTGAACTGCGCGACGAGCCTAGCCCCCTCCGCGTCCCACCTGGCGCCGGACCAGACGTACCGGCTCTCGAGCGGAGGTGGCGCCGCGCCACGACCGCCATCCACCTCCTCGAGCCCGACCAGTGCCAGCAGCCCCGCCGCCTGGGCGCGCGCGTCGTGGGCGCCCTCCCGGCGCTCGCCGAGGCACAGCAGCTCGACGGCCTCCATGCGCAGCGCGCGGTCGCGGCACTGCGCAGCCGCGAAGGCCATGGGCGCCACCAGCCCCGCGTCCAGCGTGAACCCGAGACTCGCCAGGTCTTGCTGCTGGTCTTCTGGCTCCTGCTGTTGCTGCTGTTGCTGTTGCTGTCGGAAGCACAGCACGCCCCTTGCGAGGGACACCATCTCGGCAAAGTTGCCGGCCAGCGCGTCGTACGTAAGCGTCGTCGGGTCCAGGCACCCCGTGATAAAGGTGTCGCAGAAGACCACCTGGAGTTCCATTACCGCGAGGGCGTGCATCGCTTCTGATTGCTGCTCGGGCGCCGAGCCCGAGAGGCTATCGCTGTTCCACGGTGACTGTAGCCCTAGGAGGGGGTACTCGCTGCTGCGTGAGGATGTGTAAGAGCAGAACATGTCCTCGGCGCTCGTCGCCGCTACTATCGCCTGGTACTCTGCCAAGACGGCGCGCCACCGGCTCAGGAGCGCCTTGAACTCGCCCTGCACCGCCAGCAGCGAGGCTGGGTCCTCCTCGGCCGCCAGGGTGCTGCTGCTCGCACCGCCTCGGACGTAGTCGTGGCCGAGCCAGGCCTGCCGCCTCGCCCAGATCAGACACCGCGTGCTGAAGTCGCTCCACATGGAGGCCAGCTGCTCCATGTCGACGCGCCCTTGGGGCGGTGGGAACTCGCTCCTGGGCGTCGTCCTCAGCAGCGCCACCGCCCTCTCGTCCTGCTGGCGCGGAAAGAAGGCCGACATGCCGCCGAGGACGGAGAGGCGCGGGAGTATGTGCTGGATCTCGTGCATGCCGTCAAGGTCGCCGTTGTCGTCGTAGCTGTCGTCGTGTTTGCTCCCTTGGCTGAAAAAGTAGTCGCAGTAGCCTAAACCGCCGTCGCCGCTTCTGCTGCCAATCCCATAGTTCTCGTCGTAGATTTCGTTAAACAGCTGGCTACCCGGTCCGGCGCCCGCCCCCGGCAGTAATAGCACGGGTGGCGTGCCGCCCGCTCTTGCTGCGCTGCCGATGCCCCCAGTGCTTCTTCGCTTATCGCCGCCGCCGCCTGCGTCCAGTATCCCCAGCGAGCCCCCGAGCAGGTTTATGCCGCTCGTGACCAAACCGTCGGCCGCCTCGTCGTTGCCCTGCAGCAGCTCGTACGTGACGAACAGCACGGTGGCGATCAGCACGCTCCGCGGCGGGCAGCACGCAACCGCTCCGCCGCCGCCGCCGCCGCCCACGCGCCCGCGAAAGGCCGACACCGCTTCGGTGTAGTGCGCGATCGCGGCCCGGTGGTGGCGGTCCCGCACCGCCGCCCCGTGCGTCATGCCGAGGCGGCGATGGTGGTAGTGGTGCCGGCCGCCGTTGTTGCCGTCGTTGCCGTCGTCATTGTCGTCGTCGTTGTCGTCTTCGCGCAACATCATGCTGGCTGCCAGGGCCGCAATGGCCAGCACGGCCGACCGCACGCAGCCGTCGCGGCCGGCCTCGCGCGGCACGGTGCGCGACCAGAAGCGCGAGGGCACGGGGCCGGCCAGGGCGCGGGCCAGGTGGCTGTGGAAGAGGTCGAGGTACACGGCGTCGGCTTCGTCGTCGGCGTCGGCGCAGGAGGACAGAGAGGAGGAGGAGGAGGAGGAGGAGGAGGAGGAGGAGGAGGATGGCGATGGCGATGATGGCGACGAGGAGGGCCAGGGGCCCGACGGCAGTCGCGGCGGCGCCGGGAGCGGCGATGGGGATGGGGACGGAGAGGGAGACGGGCCTGGCGAGAGCGCATACACGGTGCTGCCGTTGCTGCCGACGCTCGTCCTCCTGTCGTCGTAAAGCGAAGGTGACGGCAACGGCGACGAGGTTGCCGACGGCTGCAGTGGCGGCGGCCGGGGCAGGAGGGCGCGGACGGGGGCGTCTGGGCGTCTTTGCCGCTTCTTCCTGCCGTCCTCGCCCGCGGCGGTCGGCTGGTGGTAGCCGAGACACTCGACGTAGGCCTTGGCGCAGCGGCCGCAGGTGGGCTTCATCTCGTCGCACTTGACGTGCCGCCTCTTGCAGGTTATGCAGCCACTCTTTACCTTGGGCCGGCTGATGCGTCTCCGCTTGGGTAGTTCGGCGGCCGCTGTTGTCGTTGGCCTTGTTGCCGTCGTGGCGGCGGCGGCTGAGGGATGTAGGAGCATCGGTGACGGGGCGAGCCCCTGAGGGACGCACGGCGCTTGCGGCGGGTTCATGGTCTATACGCGGAATATGTTGCTGTGATACTGCTTTGCATTGCCCTATCTGCGTAATTGAGCTGCTCATGTCTGCTTCCACCCCCAAACCCTTATTATAACCATCATCTACCTGCCAAGATATATGTTTGAGCGATACCCTTGACACCGTTGATGGGCGCAAACCCTGCAAAGTACGGTTTAAGTTGCTGCCTGATGGCGAGCTGTCCCAATACCCCTGACGCGGGTGCGGTGTTTGGCCAGTGGCTGGAGCAACTACCCTATTTTTGTTACAGTGCGTCGGAAAACTCACAGTGCAGCAGGACACATGGAGGACAGCACTAGCCATAGCCCTGAGGTGCCGGGATAGACTTCTCTTCTCTACTAGCACCTTGACGAGACCTTGGACGTCCGGTGGCGACATTTGAGAGCTATACGTGATGATGGTGGCGAAAGCAGCCGTATGAGCAACGAGAAGGCTTTTCATGGTGACGCCTAAGAATTCTAGAGACGAACCCAAGCTAGAAATCGACCCACGTTCGTTTCCACCACTTAGTCAGAAATTTCCGACTTACACTTCTACACATCCCAGCTGCAATGTCATGGAGAGATTGATTTCAGTATGGTGCTGCCTGGCGCTTTTTTACGGGCCCCCAGGCCAGAAGCGCCTGCATAGCAGCTGAGACCCAAGGCTGTAGGGCATGTGTGCGAGTTTACCTGGGCTCTATTGGCCCCGAGGTCAGATCTGGTGATCAGTAATCTCCGCTCTCCCGTCCAGGCTCGACCGAGCGGGGCGTGGCTGGATTTTTGATATTCCAGCCTCGGCTGGGTCTATTTTGCTGTCGTACATGACGGGGGGGCTTGTGTATGCTCACACATCGGACGGCTTTCGTAGCTTGAGAATGGTGCTACAGAGAGGCAGGTGGCAACGGCCATCTCACTGACAGATCACATGCTCGTCGATGTTGCAACCACAAGTTCCACCGCACCCAAGCCTCAACCCGCAGCGAAAAGGAGATATTTGTCGAGCGAGCCCTCGTCGTACACATACTTGGTAGGCCCGCCCTGACCAAAAAAGTCTGGACCGCAAATTTTTTCCCCACCACCACAAAAAAAGGAGCTCATTCAATCTGCAATTATTTTACCCCCTGCATTTATAAAAAGCGAAAAACGTTATTGTGGCTATAAGTAATGCTTTTTGCATTAAAATAATTACAAATTCCTTAAACGCGTGTTTTTTTAGGTGTAGAATGCGGCGCGGGCATGTTGTTTGGCTTTGGTGCTGGTGCAATTGTGTTGGGAG